CTGCCGCCAGGACCGCGAGGGCTACTGATTGTCGGAAACCTCCCGTTTCTTGATCCGGAGCTTCACACCTACTTCTCAACCATCGCTGAAAAATACGGTCCAATCTTCAAACTCAATCTCGGCTCAAAACTAACCGTCGTGGTCAACTCTCCTTCGCTGGCTCGAGAGATCTTGAAAGACCAAGACATCAATTTCTCAAACCGAGACGTCCCTGTCACGGGCCGAGCCGCTACTTATGGTGGTATCGACATCGTTTGGTCACCGTACGGTGCCGAATGGAGAAGACTTAGAAAAGTTTGCGTTCTCAAGCTTCTTAGCCGCAAAACTTTGGATTCTTTCTACGAGCTTAGACGCAAAGAAATCAGGGAAAGAACGAGGTTTTTGTACGAGCAAGGTCAGCAAAAATCGCCGGTGAACGTCGGAGATCAGTTGTTCTTGACGATGATAAATCTTACGATGAATATGTTATGGGGAGGTTCGGTGAAAGCAGAGGAGATGGAGAGTGTTGGAACAGAGTTTAAAGGAGTGGTTTCTGAGTTAACTAGGCTTTTGAGTGAGCCTAATGTTTCGGATTTTTTTCCGTGGATAGCAAGATTCGATCTTCAGGGGCTTGTGAAGAAGATGGGTGTGTGTGCTCGAGAGCTCGATGCGGTATTCGATAGAGCTATCGAACATATGGAGAGGCTAAAAAGAAGAGATGATGGTGATGGTGAATGCAAAGACTTTTTACAATACTTGATGAAGTTAAAAGACGAAGAAGGTGATTCGGAGGTTCCCATTACGGCTAATCATGTCAAAGCCCTACTTATGGTAATCAATGGTTTCAATTTTCATAATTTAAAAAGTGATGGAATTCGAAATCATTAATCCACAAAAACTTGTATTAAATTACCAAGGATTGGAATGGTTGTCTCACAATTATATTTGTCATTAGGTATTAATATTGATCAACCGAATTCAAGATAAAGTATCAATTCCCAGTTAGTAAAAATCATATTTAATCACAGTGGTTCTTTCATTTCCGCATTCCGCAAGTTACCATTTAAAGCTCTAGTTACTTTAGAATTTAGATTTCAGTTTTATGGTTTGTAGTTTATATGATTTTCGATAGATGATGTAGAACGTTACCGGTAAAAAATCTTGGTTGTTAGAACGTTATTCAAAATTAAAAACAAAACAAGGATATAGATATTTAATTGTTCATGAGAAGTAATTTGATTGATCAATGTTGTTTGTTATATATATGTGAAGGATATGGTGGTTGGTGGTACGGATACATCGACGAACACAATAGAGTTTGCAATGGCCGAGCTAATAAGCAAACCGGAGTTAATAAAGAGAGCTCAACAAGAGCTAGACGAAGTTGTAGGCAAAGACTGCATTGTTGAAGAATCACACATTACTAGACTTCCTTACATACTAGCCATTATGAAAGAAACACTTAGACTTCATCCAACACTCCCTTTGTTAGTCCCTCACCGTCCAGCTCAAACCACGGTGGTGGGCGGCTACACCGTTCCTAAAGACACTAAGATCTTTGTCAATGTTTGGTCTATTCAGAGAGACTCAAATGTATGGGAAAATCCGTCTGAGTTTCGTCCTGAAAGGTTTCTTGATAATAAGTCTTGTGATTTTACGGGGACCGAGTATAGTTATTTTCCTTTTGGATCTGGCCGGAGAATTTGCGCTGGTGTAGCACTCGCCGAGAGGATGGTTTTGTGCACTCTCGCAACACTATTGCATTCGTTCGATTGGAAGATTCCGGAAGGACAAGTGTTGGACTTGGAAGAGAAGTTTGGGATTGTCTTGAAGCTCAAGACCCCTCTTGTTGCCTTGCCCGTTCCAAGGTTGTCAGATTCGAATCTTTATCTATAGAAGCTAAGGTAGTGTCACACTTTGGCAGTTCTTATGTTTTACCATAAAATAAAATAAAAAGTACTATCGTCATTAAAGTTTTGTAATGAAAATCGAACAGAAGTTTGGGTAAAAATAGCAAAATCCAATTAAACTACGATCAGGACTATGTTGTTGGATATTATGATCCATTTTTATCAGGGGAAAATAGGCATTTAAATGCCAAACTTTAATTTTAGCCATTCATTTAAATACCAATTTTTTTAATTAATTTTTCATATTAAGCATTAGAAGTGTCAAACGGACTGACCCGCCTTAAATAATCTGCACTACAGTGGTTATTCTTATTCTTCAGACTACAGCGGGTTGACCTGCAGTGTTTCGACTAATGAACTGATCTAACTCTCTCATATTCAACATATGCATTAGATAATACACTTGATTGCTATTTCACAAAAAATGAAATGATCAATTTTTGGTGCTTACAACTTTGCTTCTGTATTGATCATCATTTTACTAATATCACCATTTTAACCATAAGTTTACACTACTCGAGATGGTGTCTTAAATTGGTTGTGCCATTCTTATATGACTCATGAGCATATTCCTTATTTCAATGTTTACACACTGTCTTCTCTACATTCTTGCCTGATTTTTCAACCTTACTTATCACCATATAATGTGACCATACATCTGAATGTTGCTTCTTCTTCTTTGGTTCAGATAACTTTTCTTTGTCATCGTCACCTTCAGCCTCATGAGCAGCTCCTTTTATGTTTGATGCAGAAACCGAATATTCCTCTCAATGCTGCTTTCTCTTTCTCTTTTGAGATGATGTTACTCTATCATCATCATCTTCAACATCAATAACAAACCTTTTATGATGGCTTGATGCTTTTGAAGACTGTTTCATCAATCCTATCTTGTTCTGCATTTAATTGATCATTAAGCCTTTGAGATTCAAAATTTACCGATCTGAAACTCTCTCAACTCGGTGTCTCTGAATTCTGTAAAAAAAAAACAACATTAGTTACTTAGTTCATAACATACGATTTGTACAACTTTTTTTAATTAATTTCTATTATTAGTTTGATAAAACAAAAAAACTTACAAAATTCTCCATTAATCTTCTCTATTTTTAATCAAGAGTGTCTCTCTTTCAAAAACAGAAAAATGGTTTGGCGTGATTGATAGATATATCATGAATCTGTTTTCTGATAAAAAAATTTAAGGCTTCAAGTTTTGTTTTCAATGTGACTATTGACATTACTATGATTGTTTTGGTTTGGCTTTGTTGGTATAAACTGTATGGTTTACTAAATTTAAGAAATTCATGGAGAAAATATATGTTTCCAAACAGCCAAACATCATTAATTTACGATACTCTATTTTTTGAAAAAAAAAAATTTAAACTCGCGGAACGAATCCGATTAAACTGCTAAACTCGGAAACCGCAACAAACAAACCCCCGAGACCTGCTACTTAACGGTTCTAGAATGTCATACCCACATCCGCCCCATGATGGATCTAGAGAGGTCGAAGATGACACCTCTATTAGGCACGACGATGATATCATTAACATATTGACTAAATACAACATTATGTCTAATATAACCAGTCAACAAAAATTAATGATTTAAAAAATAAATGATATAAAAGTTTGTTATAAAAACCATTTACATGAAATTTAGTGTTTATTTTGGTCAAAATTTAAAATTTTGGCATTTAAATGGCATCTTTTTATGATAACGTCAATCAAATAAAACAAGTTTAAATGCAATTCAAATGTCAGACTTTTAAGTTTTGGCTATTATAAGCCATAGTATATGCATTGACACTTTAAATAATAAATTTTTATATTAATTATCTTTTAAATCATGAACATGAACTTATGTTAACTTACATATTAGGCATGATATTGACTTTACTACCAGATATTAACCAAACAGCATTTAGTTAATCTGTTAGTGGTATTAACGTCGTGCCTAATATGACTGAGTCAACATAAATTCGTAATTTAAAAATCAGTCAATAAAAAAGTTTATTATTTAAATGAAACAAATGAAAAATGATGTTGGCAGAACTTTGAAAGTTCTGCATTTAAATGCCTATTTTCCCAATTCTATGAGTCTGAATTGCATAACTCACATGGTGTGGCTCTCTCTTGTTAATTACTTAAATAGAAGAAATAAAACTATTAATCACATTCCAAATTTGTGGATTGCCAATCATGGATTTTCTTTTCTTTCTATTTAAATATTTAAATCCTGATTGGTGGTGAATATGATAATGCAAACATTATTAGATGAGATAAGGACCCCTAACGAGTTACATTTATGTGTATACATGTAACAAACAATGAGTTGATAAGATGTGACATGTGATATCTTTAAACGTAGTAGAAATGCTAGAGTTTCTATTTTATATAGTTGTCTTGTACTTCTTAAAAGATTAATGTGCGACCTAACGAATGTATATTTGCTTAATTTGATAGTAAACCATCATTGACATTTTTTTTGTCAAACCAATAATTTCATTGAATTTCCTTAAACCATCATTGACAAAAGTATCTCCTTTTGGCTTTTTTCTTGTTTCTTTTTCATTTGCTCAAAATAGTATTATAAAACGGATTAATTTAGCACGGATTGTAAACTTTTGTAAATTTTCATAAATACTTTGTAAGTCATAGTAAAACGTCTGTAGGTTTATATAAAACAAATTGTTAAAATTTTGTCGGAAATTTGAATTGACATACAAGATCACAATTGCTGGCAAAGGAAAACGTCATAACTCATTAATACCCTCTTCGTACCGTAAAGGTGGATATGACATATTGTATAAGATAAGTTTATAAAATAAGATTTAAGGTAATTTGAGTAAAATATATATATATATATATATATATTCAAATGTAATATGGCCTCAATTTATATATACGTTTAAATGTTTTCAGATTGTTTTTTTCTTTTTTTTAACGGGACTCTTATCAAATTTCTCAACTTATTCATGGTACAAGACGGTCTTTAGAATTTACAAATGTACATCCCGATTATTAATTCACACACCATCATAATAAAACATTGTTTTGATTTAGAGCACCATGAATCTATAGAAGATCCAAAACTTTATTTCATGCTTTACTCTTCTCAAGCAGAAACAGATTCAGCTCCACACATCGGAAGGTCATGTTCGAAGTTCGGAGCGGCTTTAAGAATTGGATTGCGCTCGAAGAAATTTGTGGGTTTCAAATCGAAACTCGATGAAACTGTGGGCATTATTGGAAAATCTTCTTGACATGGAACGTGATGGAAGCCAAGTGTGTACCACACAACTATATCGGTGTTCTCAATATCTCTATCCCTGCATAGTACCAATATTATTACATCAAATAAAGTAATAAAATCATAACTATATACTTAAAAATAATAAACAAATCAATTAATCACCTGTCGGACCAAACTTGAAGAGTATCGTCACCATGGCTTTGGTAAGTGAACAAACCAGCAGCCCATAGCTCGGACTTATTGTATGGAGTGACCCAAATTTGATTATTGGTAAAAGCTCCTCTCTTCTGCGGCGGATCATCATGGTCAAGCAAACTAGCCGCCGTGGCTCTAGGCACGATCTTGTAACCCGTCGGGTTACCCACATGGGTGGTTTTAGCAGAATTGATGACGTGGAATTCTGATGGGTCGTATAAACTAAGTTTAATCTGACCATCCTTTTCGGTTTTCGCAACATTCCTAACCGCTTTCATGTAACTCTTCCTCGGTGACTCGCCTGGCTCAGTCTCCTGTCTCTTGAGGTTCACTTTAACAAAGGAATTGTCCGGTCCATCGACGTCGAGGTCAAGGTAGAAAGTTACGTAGTGATCGTGGATTACTCCGATTATGTTTTCAGACAGAAGCGTGCCGTGAAGCTCTTCTTCATTACCTTCGTTATCTTTCTTCACTTGGTTCTTGTTTTCATATGTTGTCCCTTTCACCATCAGGATTCCACTAAGTCCAACCTAACATAGTCCATTCATTTGTGTGGGTTTTGACAAAAATGAATATTCGCTATTATACGGAACTAAGATATGTTTTATATATTGGAAAATGACATAAGATTAGAATCAAAGTACCTTGGTTTTTATAAGCCCATCAGTCTGGAACTCATAATCAATGATGTAATCATAATTACCTACCGAAGCTACCATTCTTACCACTAACGTCACTTTCGGTCTCACTTCCCTTATCTGTTCAATCAAAAATTTCAAATTTCTTATTTTGACCCTAAACTTTTGTCTATGTAGATTTGAACCTGGAATCGGAAAGGCAAAAAGACTAACCGGTAAACCGCTAATGGGGCTTTCCGAGTGACGCCACCCAATATCTCCGGCGTAGCTCTCGAAGATACAAACCATATTCTCTCTCACGTACGGCGTTCCATCCGCCGTCGCGAATACACCGTCCATATACGCAGCGTTTCGTGGACAATCATTAAGCGGTACGAGCGGCATGGCTTGTAAACCGAACCCGTATTCACCTGCGTCCATGTAAGTCTTGAAGTACCACGCGTCTGAAGGATCCATGTATGGAACAAAAAGCTCCGACACGAACCCCTGGTACATTACGTCACGTGTCTCTTGTGTATCCGGATCGTGTACTCTGACCTGTGATAAAACCACACCTGCTCTCGGGTCTGGTTTCAGATGAAATTCCCAATTTGCCCATTTCACTAAATGGTTATCTTCGATTACGAAGCTTGGACCACGTGGCTGCTCGATCGATATCGGGTTGAGTGGTCGGGTTTTGTCGGTGGTCACAAGGTTTTCAAAGCGGTATTCGGTATTGGTTGAACCGGGTATGGGTATGTTCCGACCCGTATCAACAATCTCGATCACTTGCTTCGTATCTAGATCTATAAGAATAGTTAGACCTTCGATGGGTCGCATGTAGAAATTAGCAGTACCTTGATTTGAGTAACACTGACTTTTAATAACCCTTTTATTTTCCTCTTTTTTACCGTACCAGCCACTTGATAACGGGAAGCAATTCACATCCGTCAGATTAACTCCACGAGAAACAATCGTACGGTTGACATCCGCGTTTAACAACGGTGCCAACGTGACTGCGTTCATCTCTTCTAGAGTCATCGTCGGGTAACCAGAAGCACGAACCGGATTATCCTCTATATCGACCCGACCAGAAGAAATGTCAACGGTCAGTACGTGCGTGTCGGGACCGACACGTGCGATGACGGAAGCTTTCCTCGGAGGAAGTGGGTTTCCTTTTTCCCAGTGTCTAACGAGATTCTTCTCAGGCTCTTCAAGGACGACGGAGTGAAGCACGTGTGGTGCACGTGATGAGAAGAGCGCGTGAGAGAAGAGGATTGACCGGACTTTGTTGATTTCGACCACCGTGAGTGGGTCCAGAGGGTGGTTTGGTGTATCTGAAAAGTGGTCATGGTTTTTGGGTTTTGGTTTGGGATCGTTTTTGGAAATGGGCCGTTTTTGTTTTTTGAAAAGGAAGTTTCTTGATGCACAAAGAGGTGAAGAGGAAGAGTCGGTGCAGTCCAAAAACCCCGTTGTGGACGACGGCGCGTGAGGGAAGTTAGTGGAAGTGAAAGAGATGATGAAACCGGCGGTGACTACGAGAAAAATCAAGCGAAAAAAAGTTTTTTGCTCCATGTATTTTTTTGAAAAATATGTTTTGTTTTAGTTGCTTCAGCGAGTGTAGATCATAGGAGTTGTTGTATTATATATAGAGAAAAGGAAACAAATGGGCTTAGCGAAGTATGTCACCACACGGTATACTTAATATATAGACAAATCGTTCATGAAATAAATTATCTAATCTAGGAATGCAAGGGATTCTTATCTTTGACGATGGAAGACGAAGACAAAGAGATTCGTCCAAAACTTTCAATAAGAGACGTACGGTGGCTGTGTTTGTTGATGTATCAGTATGTTGTCGCCAGAGCCGTGCCTAAGCATTTCGATGCCGTAGGCCAGATATATATATTTATTAATATACTACATTATATAATAATATATGAAATAACCGTATTTATTTGTGAAACAAAATATTAACTAAAACTTTAGAAAAATATATATTTTAAATCATTTGTTTAATATAAAAAAAATATAATACAAAGAGACAGTATTGTATATAACATATTTTAAAATTGTAAATTAAACTTTAAAAATTAAAGAAAACAAAATTTAAAACAAAAAAGTTAGTGAAAATTTAAAAAGAAATAATAGCTAACATGGTAAAAATGGAAAAAGGAAATGAATATGTGATTATATAAATACTATAAAGAACAATAATTAAGAGATTAAAAATATAGATGTAATAGCTAATGTATTAATCGACTTTTAGATTTTAATTTTGATTACAAATAGAGTCTTGAAATATTAGTGTGATAATCAATATATAGAAATAGAACTTTAACATTTTTACAGATAAGCCATATAATAATAATATATTTAAATCCACTTCTTAAATTTAATATAAAAATCCCAAAAAATATCCTTACACTAACGCAATATAATCGAATAAAACAATGATCTATTAAACGTTTTGCATTAATTCTTTACCACAAAAAAAGATTAGTGTATTCACACGAACGATCCCAATTCCCAAAGAAATCTCTGTTTAGTATATACAAGGACTTCTCATCATCTACTACCGCTAAATTCATCACAAAAATTCAACACATCTTCAACACTACAATTTAAGTCGATTTCATGCTTTTCATTTCGCTACACTCCACTGTCACCTTAAGATTGAGTGGATATAAAAGAACTTTAGAAGATCCAAGATAATATTAATATTAAAAAAGATTTACATATTTATATCTCTGTAATTCGGAAAAAAGTTACTGTATAAATGTATGTAACTCTAATCGTTATTTTATGACAGTGTCAGTATACAGTTTTTCCAATCATAAATTCTCATCGATCTCTACATAGTAAACTAACATTGCAGCATTGCATGGTTGTAGAAACACTAGAAAAACAGAAGAGAAGAATACAAGTTATAGGGTATACAGAATATAATTATATACATACAAATCTTAATAATTATATTTACGATTTTTTATATAATTCTCTATATTTAGTTATCTACGATTATCTTAAATATAATTCTCTAATTTTCATTTTATGTTAAATCAATAAATGCCAAAAAACTTTAATGTCTTTAACATGTGTTAGCAATACTTAGCAATAGCATCCACTTAATTTTTAAATTTATATATGTCACACAATATTATGAAATACTTAACAATTAAGTGTTATTTATTTAATAATAAAACATGTTCAGTTAGTGAATCTACAGAAATTCATGAAAGAAATCGTATTAAAAAATTCTTTAATCTTTTTTTTTGCTGAAAAAAACCTCTTTAATCTTTATTACAATGACCCATGCAACACCACTTGTCCTCTTACTATTTATATATATAGATATCCTTCAGCGCAAGAATAGAGAATATATTAATGCAAACCTTACATGCATTTCGTTATATTCAATTAAATTTGTATGTGCTAACTCATGGGAAGGTCAAATGATGAGCCATTTGATCTAGACAGCAAATGTTGACAAAATCAGATACAGGTTCGAGTAGTACCATAACGATTCCGAAAGAGTTAGTAGAAGCCAAACTATTTCCTTGGTGGCCAAGAGATCGCTCGATAGGACTGTTAGAACAAAACTCGTTTGAGATGGTGGATCTCTTTGAGTTCGATTCAAAAATTACAATAACTGTGTTTATGAAAAGAGACGAAGATGGAGATTTCAAATTACATATTTACATGGATGGAATTACGTTCACGGTAAAATAAATTACAGGATGGGAGATGCTGTAGGATTTTGGCGGAATAAAAATTCAAATAGACTAAATTTCAAACTACTCTTGATTGCTTAGTTTGATGGAGCTGATCTTCACAACTTCATTTCTCGAAAAAGGAAGCTCTCTTTTGTCTGTTAATCAAGTTCGGTTTGTTGCTTTTAAATTTATATTATGATTTGCTGATCTTTTGTTTAAGTTGTTTTACACTCTACTTCTTGAGAGTATGAATGCTCGAATATATATCTCTTTGGCTTTCTAATTACATTAAAGAGTCAAGATAATAGTTCTCCAGATTTTTTTTTCTGTTTGGACATTCAAAGTTAGCATAATGATCGATACAGCCTTTTTAAGTCGAGAAAGTTGAGAATTTTTCTTTTTCTCGAAAACCATTAATTAAGAATTGAAAACTCGAAGATTCGTACGTTAATTTAGCAAAACTAATCAAATTAGGCACTGTTAATTAAGAGAAATGACTGCTCAAAAACTTGAGAACAGAGGTTGCCTCAAAAATGCCTTAACATATTCTTTCCCAATGAAACGCATTTGATTTGTTTATTTGTTTAAAATCCCCAAAATTAAGCATCGAAATTTTTAATCAGTAAGTTGATTGTACAAAAACTAGTAAAAGGAAACCGTTATTACTGTAAGTATTCAATGGAAAGCAACCGATTGTAGTATAAAATAGTTTTATTTGAAATAGATAAGTATGTGAAAAGATTATTATTTCTATTCTATTTTTAATGTCAGAGGTTACTATTATGCGTAAAATATATTTAGCGCTACTAAAATGTATAATCGTATATTACATATCTATTGTATATTAGGTTACATTTACATTTGACAATATACTATACAATAATTATGAAGAATACATTTTACTATGCAAATCGAATGTGGTTCGACATAGTACTATATATGCCATAATTATAAGAAATACATATAATAGTGTATTATATACTATGTTTCATCTAAATGGTGTGTCTTATTGCGTAAATCTCTTACAAGTTATTGTTTCATCATTTACAATATTTATGTCATTATATTCTCTTCTTTCATTTTCAAAACGAGGATATTTTTACATATATTGTGGTATATACAAATTACTATAGCCATGATTTTCATATAATTAAATCATTTATTATTAATTTTGTTATGGTTATTTTTGCTAAAATTCCTATAAAAACTTATTACTACTTTTTTTTTTGGTTAAAGATCCGTTTTATGTAAAGATCTGTTTTCTATAAAAGAAAAAGAGTAACAAATTAAAAGAAAAATCAAGAAAATAGAAAAGAAGCAAAAGGAAAATCAAGGAACAAAAGAAATTGGGCAAAACAAAAATCATGAAAAAGGCAAACAAAGGCAAAGGAAGTTGTAATAAAATGAAATAGCGATTTACTATTTTTCATTTTTTTTTTGTTTAGAATCATAGCTCAAATCAAGAAAACAGAAAAGAAGCAAAAGGAAAATCAAGGAACAAAAAAAATTGGACAAAAAAAAAATCATGAAAAAGGCAAACAAAGAGAAAGGAAGTTGTAATAATATGAAATAGCGATTTACTATTTTTTGTTTAGAATCATAGCTCTATAAATAGAGTTTTAGACTTAATGTATAAAAAACATCACGAATCACAAAGACCCCAAAAGATCAAAGTGAAAGAGAGAGAGAGAGAGCTAATCAAACAAAGGTTTAGAAGAGAAATTAGTGTGGTTCATCAAAATTCCAACACTAAATCATGGGAGAGCGGTTCTTCATAACATTGAGAGAGTCAGACACCGGTTCGAGTACTACGCTAACTCTTGCGAAAGAGTTGGTAGAAACCACATTATTTCCTCGGTGGCCTGCAGAGCTCGTTCCCAAAGCCTGTTACAGCCAAACTCGTTTGAGATGTTGGATCTCTTTGAGATCGATACTGAAATTACAACAGCTGTGGCTATGAAAAGAGACTAAGATGGAAATTACAAATTACATGGATGGGGTTGCATTTACGGTAAAAAAAATTACAGTATGGGAGATACTGTTGGATTTTGGTGGGATGAAATTCACAACAGACTTAATTTCGAACTACTCTTGCTTGCTTAGTTTGATGGAGCTGATCTGGTTTGTTGCTTTTATATTTATATTATGATTTGCTGATCTTTTGATTAAGTTGTTTTAGTTCTATTTAAACTCTACTTCTAGAGACTATGAATGTTTTTCTTTTAACAATCCTAAGATAAATCTTTTTGGCTTTACATTAAAGATTTTGGCTTTTTACATTAACAACGAGAGATAATAATTCTCCAATTTTTATTATTTTCTGTTTCGACATTCAAAACTAGCATAGAAAACCATAAATTAAGAATCCAAAACTCGTTTGCACAACAACTACAAGAAAAAAAGAATCCAAAACTCGAAGATATTAGTAAGTTAATTTAGCAAAAGTACTACTAAATCGTTAAGATAAAAATAGTCTCTCGAAAACGCCTCGACATATTATTTCCTAAAGAACGAATTTGATTAATTTATTTGTTTTGAAAACCATATATTAAGAGCATCAAAAATTGAAAATTAGTACAAAACCTAATAAAAGTATTTAATATATGTATATAGGCATCGTTAGGAAGAAACAATGACTGCTCATGAACTTGAGAGCAGAGATTGCATCGAAAGCGCCCTAATTTTGGTGTGTTTAATGTAAGAGAAGGCTCTCTAAAAATGGTATTTAATTTCTTTTCCCATTTTCTTCTTCTCTCCCGTCTCCTTAAGAAGATACAAAAAAAAGAATCAAGAACGCAAATTTTACCCATTAAAGCGAAAATGTGGGAAGCTCCGTAAGCAAATGAGTCGATATTGGAGAGATTTATGTCTCTCGCGATCACCAGCCGGTTAGCTTCTATCTCAATCTGGCTGCTAACCGATTTCGGCAAATTCAAGATCTGAGTGTGTATAAATTAGATCGAACCCCAAGATTACACGCATGACTAACGAAACAAAATCGATACTTGCTCACAGATTAAAATAATGTTCAGCAAAATACTAAAATAATGTACAAAACACTTTTTCGCACCAAAAAAAAAAAAAAAGTACAAAACACTAAAATAATGTTCAAAACTACTAATAAAAAGGTAGAAAACTAAAAAATATGATGGATCATTAGAAGAGCTGCGATGTAGGTTGTTCCAAAATGAAAACATAATTTTTACAAACAAAAAAAAACCACAATAGTAGAAGCTCCCTTAGCCCAATGGTTTAATAAAAATTTATTAATGTTTCTATATTAGGAGGTTTGGGGTTCAAATCTCAGAGTACGCCGTTGAAAAAACATATACAACAACAAAAATTTGGGATATCATATAGTCAGTTATGTCATCACGGATTTTTCTTTTCTTTTATTTGTAACCGTAAGATTTCACATCAAACCTATTGTTAAATGGTACATTTGAATATTATAATGGAGTTGGGACCAAATGGTAATATATTGACTTAATAAAAAACATATCAATGGCAAATATAATTCTCTATCGTTCTCTTGTATTGAAAAATAAAAATGGTTTAACCTCACTATATAGGTTTCTAAATAATATTTAATTTGATTTCAAATTTCTTTATGTCGTACTTTTTCCAATCTTTTATATAATCTTCCTAACGCATATAATCTATATTTGACCGACGTAGGTTGTTCTATTGTGTGGTCAAATATGTATCCAATGCTATAGGTTACTCAAATTAGACATAAAATTTGTGTTGGGGCATTTCATGATCTATGTTTTCATTTTTCCTCTTTTTGCTCAGCCTTTCCAACTCCGAAATGATATACTTGTGCTTGAGGACTCACAAGTTTAGTCTTCAAAAATGATTGCATCATGACACTTAGCGGTTGCAAAGAGTATATGGTACTCACACTCTCTACTTTTCACAGTATTCCTGTAACGACTCAGTTTTACAAACCAGGTCCGTTTGAAAAATTCAATCCCGACTAAGACGGTTTAAGCCCATTTCATATTTCTCGATATTTTATTTTTTCCTTCGAGAGATAATTAATTTCGGGTTTAGATAAATATTACATTTTTAATATGATATTAATGAACCTTTTCCTAAATGAATTGTGAATATACTTATTCATAATTATATTTTCCTTTTTCGTGGTTATCTTTACTTTTTACCCAAGTCTCCCATTGGGTATAAATAGAGAGTCATTCTCATCCTTTTTCTTCATTCTAAACTTTCCAGAGAACAGAGAAACCCTAGAACTCTCTTCTCTTTCTTTTCCGGCGCCGTAGTACTCTTTCTCCGTCATCTCTCTCTCCTCTTTCTTTCTCTCTCATCGCTGCATCCTCTCTCTCTTCACCATGTCCTGCCGTTCGTCTTCCCCGCCTTCTCGTGACCGCCCTAGCCGCTCCCCGGAGCAGCCATCGTCGTCCGCCGGCGCGGTGGAGCAGCCGCGAGTCCACTACCTTCGGGATGGACCCGTAGCCGCCCCTTCCAGCCGCCCTGCCCTGGTGTTTCACGTTGATGAGGAGCCGGAGTCCTCCCGAAGCCGTACGCCGCCGCAGCATCACCCCCGGAGATCGATCAACCCTGCGTGGTTAGCCACCGTGGAGCATCTGGCCTCCTTCTCTTCTCCTTACCTCCCCTTGCCACCTCCTTCGCCACCTAGGCCAAGGTGAGGATGAATCTGTGCTTGAATATCGTGAACTCTGCTTTCCTGAATGCATAGTTTGGGGTTAAACCAAGCATAACCAACTTTCTGCTTTATAACTGAGTCCTAGCTAGGTCATAATAGGTTGCTGTTTGTTCTGTGAATCGTCTAGATGTGTTTAGGGTTTTGAAACTGAAGTTGCAGAAGACTTAAAACGAACCTTTACTTGTGCTTGAAACACTTTACTTGTTTGATTGCTGTTTGAATCTCTTCTGTGATTGTGTGATCGCCTAGAACTTGTAAAGAGGATAGGAACTTAATACGGTATTGCGTAAAATCATAATTGAGACTATGTGTTGTGAAATGTCTGAGATGAGAGTTGAGGATAGAGCCAAGTTTGGTGATTGCAGGGTCAGTAAATAAGTCGGTTGGGGTCCGGGAAAAATAACGCACCGACTGTCGGACAGGGGCGGGGCCCACGAGCCCGACTGAGGGATGGGTGACTCGCCAGAATGGGCGGTCGGGGGCAGGTCACCAAGTTTGGATAGACCTGGTGACCTGCCCCGGTGTTTCACGTTGATGAGGGGCCGGAGTCCTCCCGGAGCCGTACGCCGCCGCAGCATCACCCCCGGAGATCGATCAACCCTGCGTGGTTAGCCGCCGTGGAGAATCTCGCCTCCTTCTCTTCTCCTTACCTCCCCTTGCTACCTCCTTCGCCACCTAGGCCAAGGTGAGGATGAATCTGTGTTTAAATATCGTGAACTCTGCTTTTCTGAATGCATAGTTTGGGGTTAAACCAAGCATAACCTACTTTATGCTTTAGAACTGAGTCCCAGCTAGGTCATAATAGGTTGCTGTTTGCTCTGTGAATCGCCTAGATGTGTTTAGGGTTTTGAAACTGAAGTTGCAGGAGACTTAAAACGAACCTTTACTTGTGCTTGAAACACTTTTCTTGTTTGATTGCTGTTTGGATCTCTTCTGTGATTGTGTGATTGCCTAGAACTTGTAAAGTGGATAATGCGTTTGGCTTATGGCGCAGACGATTATCTTGACATTGCCGGTTCGGTTTTATTGACCGGGATCGGGTGTTACAAGTTTGGTATCAGAGCTAAGGTTAAGACTCTTCAGCTTTGTTCTGAAGGGTCAGTCCTAAAAAGTTTTAGTGTTTACGAAACCTTTGTGCACACTTGGCTTGCTTTACAACTGTTATGACTCACATCTATGCATACTTGATATCTGACTCTTAGCTTTTTCTTTCCCGTGCCAAACAGGGCTCATACCCGCGAGACAGCCCGGAAACAGACCACTCCGATCCACATGGTTCCTGCTAGACTCTCCCTACCCGCTCAAATGCCCACTCAGGAGGAGGTGAACGCCTGTGGTGCGCTAGCGACTGATGTGCTCGAACCTGTACAAGCTCGGGGCACATGTCGATCCACTTCTGGTAGAGTGATGGCCCAACGGGCCCAGCCAACACGTAAGCGCGGACACCCCCGCAAGAACCCCGTGCCATATGTTAGGCCGGGTGTTCAGCCGTCTTACCCCCGGACAACCCAGGGTGGACGTTCTATGGAGCAGTACAAAAGGGCCTTCTTTCGGGACCTGAATGAGAGTGGCAGAGAAATCTGTTGTACTCTTCATGCTGCAATAGCATTCCGAGAAGGGCTGAGACCAGAAATCCGTGGGAGTGTACCTTATCCCGAGGAAGACGGACTTGTTCGGGGCATCAGCCAAGTCACTAACCTGGCTCGGTTGGTGGAGCAGGATATCAAGGAGGAACGGAGGCAGCATGAAGAGGGTGACTATGAGTCAGACCCGTCCGAATGCGAGGTCCCCGGTGATGACGACTTCGCCCCGAGACGTGGCTAGGAGAAGCTGCTTGAAGACTATCTAGATTAGGGCTGCGCTTTTGGGATATTGGAGGGGGAATTCATTTTCATTTTAGAAATTAACTTAGTGTTTAATTTATGCATTAGATTTAAGAGCTCTATTCTATGTTGATTGATTGCTTGATTTAATTTAATAAAAAGTTTTGCTTGCTTAGAAATGATTGCTTCCCGAGTCTTCCGTTCTATGAACATTTCGATTTAGCCTTCTTTGGTATGACTTCCAAGTCTTCCTCATCGCCTTAAGCCGGCCGTGGAGGTTCATGCCTTAGAATTCGGGACGAATTCTCGTTAAGGGAGGGAGAATTGTAACGACCCGGTTTTACAAACCAGGCCCGTTTGGAAAATTCAATCCCGACTAAGACGGTTTAAGCCCATTTGCTATTTCTTGATATTTCCTTTTTCCTTCGAGAGATAATTAATTCCTGGTTT